ACTCCCAGGATCAGCAGGTAATAGATCAAGCAACTGACTCAAGTCTAAAGAAGTGGAAGTTGTAGCACAAGCCACATGCAAGATCCAGACCTAGCAGAAAGCAAGTAAGTTTTTTTCCTGAGTGTCTAATACATTGGAATCAGGCCACCCCCCCCAAAGAAGCATCCTTTCAATTGATTGGCTGCTCATAGCAGACCTCATCATAGAGTCTATTGTAGTATATTAGATCTCCTCATGGGGATAATTACGTCTCAACTTCCAAACCACTGAGAATTCTGGTCTAGTCACATTGACACAAAACCTTAAATATCACAGATCCTCAACCCTCCAAGGTACTTATAGCATTGCTAACTTAATGATTAAATTCTGGGTGTGACTGCCAACATAGTCAACCCTGAAATTTCAGTTAGTAATTCTTTAACATTCTTTATAGGTTCAACACCTTTATGTGTATCTATAAAATATATACATCACCTATTTTTATCTATATCAATGTTATTCTAATTTAATCAAACTATGTATGTATGGGAAGACGCCCAACGAGGTGGAGTGGCACAGTGGCAGCAGTAATGGTCTCAAGCATACCAATTGTGAGGATGGTGCAGGCCTGGAGTAGTGTTTCATTCTGTTGTGCATACGCTCTCTATGAGCTGGAACTGACCTGACAGCACCTAACAACAGCAAGTATTCTCTATGAAGTACATATTTCATCCAACATTAATTTTTTTTAGAATAATCCATTTTATTGGGTATTTCTATAGTTCATTTTACTGTTATAGAATATAATAGTATAATAAAAAATAACCTGTTATTTTATTGTCCATGTTAGATTGGATTATTGCCCTCAATTCATCACTGCTGCCTTTTTGCTAGCAATATATTTTCATGTCATTGCTGTAATTTCATGGTGACAATGTATTTTCTGACCCTTTGACTTGCACTTGGTCAGTGGGGTACTTTGATCAATATAGCATTTGTTGTTGTTAAGTGCCGTGGAGTCGGTTCCAACCCATAGGGTTTCCAAGGAGCAACTGGTGGGTTTGAACCTCCAACATTGTGGTTTGCAGTCCAGTATGTATCCTATAGCACCATCCTGGGAGTCCGATGGAATGTTAGTAGATGAAATGGCATGGATACACTTGTACAGTTTGGAACTTTGCCTGTCACTCAGGGATGATCTGCCATAAGAAGGATGTACCATACTCTGGGTTGTTGTTAAGTGCCATTGAGTGAATTCCATCTTATAGTGACCCTGTATTGGGTTTCTGAGTAGCAGCTGATGGGTTTGAACTGCTAGTCTTGTGGTTTGCAGTCTGGTGCAGATCCTACAGTGCCACACCAGAAGTCCATGCCTTGTGTAGTCTCTGGTTAAAAAGGAACAAAGAGTTGCTTCTAGCCACCCTCAAGTTCCAGCCAAGCCCAGTAGACCTCAGCCATGGAGGAACCTTGATAAAGAAAATACATATTTTGTGAGCCATTAAAATTTAAAGTTGCTTATTCCATAACAGAAACTAATATATTACTTAAATTATATAATTTCTATTTTGTTGTTGTTCAGTGCCATGGAGTTGGTTCTGACTCATAATGACCCTGTATAGAGTTTCTGAGGAGTGGCTGGTGAGCTTAAACCACTGACCTTGTGGTTCAAACTGACTTGCAGTCCAGTGCATAAACCCTTAACTCCATTAATCCTACAGTCCTTTATTTTTTAGCAGATCATCCTTCCAAACCATGAAAAGTTAAAATTAAGAAAAAAAACTGATTTTCTTTTTGACGATAAGTGAGCGGTGTGGTTGAGGCAGAAGTTAATTGGCATAAGGATTAAAAATAGGCCATACAACTTAAGGCATCTTATCTCTCTTCCATGAACAGGAATAGTTGGATGCTGATTTCAACTTGAGTGTATTGTTGTTTTTAAGTGCATTTGTGCATTTTAGGGCATTTTATTAGTATAAAGGCAGAAAACAAGTCAACCCTTCATGCTGATTTATTATATGATTCCAGGGTAATCTTCTAAGAGTAGCATGGCTGAAGAACTAAAAAGTAGGGCTCAAAGGGATTTTGACCTTTTTCTTCCCTTGTATTGCTTTCTTTACGGACTTGCTTTCTCTACTTCTCAGTGTACATTGTGGAAAATATGACTCCTGAATTTGACATCTCTTTCTCTTATTTTCTTTCCAATTTAAAACACTCTTAATTCTAATTTCAAAATTTTGGTTGAGGGACATTTGTTTGCCCAGCTTAGGTTAAATTCTTGTCTGTTATACCAATTTGTTGGGAAAGTACAAACGTAGATTGCAAGATTATGCCCTTGTTTCTCTCTACATATGAGGAGGGATGAGAGGGTCTCAGAAAAGGTAGATTAAGCAGGTAAAGCAATAGAAATACACCATGAATGGGTGCTGTAGTTCACCAATTCTAAGATGCTTGATACAAGCATTGAAGGAATTGGCAAAGAACAAGGAACCAGGAATTGATGGAATAAAATTATTCAAAAAA